AGATCGTCATTAATTCGTAACACTGAACTTAGAAAATTAAAATTATTTTTGGATAAAATTGAACTATGTGTCGGTTCAATAACGCAAGATTCGTCAAAAGAATTTGTGGATGAAGAAAATTCAATGAAAATAAAGTGGTTTAAAAAGAAACAAAAATAAATTCAAACAAGTATGACAGTTTAATAGTATGAATATTTTAACGATTTTTGTTTATTAAACATCCAATGAAATATTTATAATTCAAATATGACTTGCTAAATAATAATACAAATGCAAAAAATTACAACGTTATGAAAAAAAAACTAGAGAAATGGAATTTTTTAAAATTGTATTAGCCTTGAAATAAGTGATTTTTAAAGCAGAAATTTTATAAGAATCAATAAAATATTTGGACGAATTCAAAGAAAAAATTATAGTGCACATCAAAGCAAAGCAATGAGATCAACTAATCGACAATAATATAAATAATATATTTTAAATTAAACCAAATTATTATTTTGTTTATTATTTTGATATAGCTGTTAAAAAAAATCAATTGATGAAATACTGAAGAAAAGAATTACAGAAGTTATCAATAAAATCAAAAATATATTGATGTTTTTAAAAAAGATTAGTTATAATAATATAGTGATATTTTAAAAAGTAGAAGAAACGAGCTTTTTTAAGTTTTTAAAACAAATAACTTGGTTGATTAGTAGTATGTGCACATATTTCATGGTTTAAATAAAATAAATACATATAGGTATACCTATATGTATATATGATATAAGCTCTGTGTAAACTAATGGTCATGGGATTATTATTGTACTTGGCAACAATGTTTTTTTTTATATCCTTAACAAATATTTTTTGTCCAAAAGATTTTAAACCATAGTAAAAATTAGCTCTGTAAATTCGTTTATAAATTTCAATAAGCACATATTGTCATGTGCAACGAATAAGATAGTAACTCCAAAAATTTGACTTTGAAATTATGAATAGGAGGTCAAAATTTTTAATTAAATAAATGTTTTAGAATATAAGCTAAAATACTTTTAACTAGATAAATGTCATATTTTTCATTATATTTTGTACCAAATTAAATTAAAAATATGTTTTTATAAAACCATATATAAATTTAGTAAACAATCAGATTTTTTTAAGTACAAGCTTGACAACTTCAACAACGAAATATGACATGAAAATACAACCAAAATGAATCCTACTGAATTAGCTTTGATTCATATCAAGAAAATATATGTCCTAATTTTTCGATTCAATCTTGATATAATTCTATGAGATCTGAGGCAATTATTCTTTGCTTACTCGAGAACGTATATCCATAGCTAATCTCAACTATGTACATCTGTATGAAGCTACCAGAGTTTTAATTTTTCCACTGAATCATTACATATCACCAATCATTATAATATGCATGTCTTGACTGGTTGGCCATGACTTAATATTCCTGTTATGAATCAAATAGTTACCTAAATATTGTCACTGAAACCCACTTGATAATGATCACATTAGGCAAATGAGAATTCAGTCCGGACTATACCGGGACATATTTCAACTGAAGCATCACGAACACTTGTTAGAGACAGTTTTTGAAAGATTTGGTTACGGCTAATAGAAGCATAGATTATCAAAATGATACAAAGAATAAGAATGTATTATCATAAGTCAACATAACTAAAATTTAATTTATTACTTACAAGTACTTATTGTCGAATTTTTTAGTTTAAAAAATTGTTTTACATAGTTCCTATCTATTTTGAATTGAGCGGCTAATTATTTTATTACAGTTTTCTTGTGTATTTATTATTTTGTATGCAAATATTATGATTTATTTGCTTTTTAAGTGAAGTTTTTAGTATTTTATTACGATGTTTGTTTTTTTGTTTATTGTTGGAAATATAATCAATAATTATTTAATTTTTTTTTTTTTTTTTAAGCCATTTGTCGGACAGGTTCGAACCTCACATCCCGAGTGAAAGACTGAAGTGTAACCGACTCGACAACTGTGCATTACCAATATTTATTTTATTACTATTTAATGCTTTAGGTGTTTTATTATTGTTAGATAAGATTCATACATGGTCTTAACATTAGTTTTATATCGTTGTCTTTTGTCGTATATTATATTATAATATCTATAACTCTACTCCAAGTAAGTCGTATTATTCAGTAGAACGTTTCGAAGCATAAGTACTTATATTGTTAAAACACAGTTTAATTAATACATTAGTATATGTTTCAGTTATAGTGAAATATTACTCATTATTTTATTGTAACTAATTGTGTTGTCATAAATCTTTCGCCGATCCACAATATAATCCTCTTTCAACATGTATTAATTTGTTTGCAAATAAATTCATTTATTTTACTTTTGTATGAATTAAAAATTTTTTAGTACTCGTAATTTTATTTGGATGCAGTTTCAATATCTGTTTTATTATTTTTATTGTTTTAATTTTTTTGTTATTAACACAACTAGATAAATATTATATGCAATATTTACTAAGTCTAATCGTGGATGTTTCACAGTGAAAATTTCGTTGATAAAATGGGTATTTTTGTATAATCGTTAAATATTTATAATTGTTACACATTTTGTATGTAAAATTTAAAAAACGATTCAAGTCTATAATAAATACCAATAATTTATTTAATTTTTATTTTTTAATTAAATAAAAATAATTTTCTTTAGCATTTTTGAAATAAATTTCTTTAATTTAGTTTCTTTTGTTGTTTAAATGATTAAAACTATCTGCATTAAAAAAAAATGTCTTGTTCTTTAAACATTTCTTAATTACGTAGAAGATGGTTACATTTATAGTTAAACCTTATTTTTTGTATTCGAAATAACACAAAATAACTTTTTTTTTTTTTTTAATTCTCCCCAAAAAAAACCTTTTAAGTAGATTAATTTATAAGCCAACAGTTTAATTAATTCTTCACCAAATTAACTCTAATGTTGGAGACGAGTTTATAACGTTATTAAGGTTTCAGAACTTGTACCTTACCATCTCGTGTTTGACTATCAAATAATCCCAAAATTCCTTGTATAATATAAAAAATAACTGTTTAGAAATAAATTGAAAAAAAAAATCTCTATAAAAAACAATATATTAACTGTAAAAGTGATCAACGTTCTAGTATTTTCATTTTAACAAAACTTTGAAGTCATATGTTCCTACAAATCATTTTTACTTAGCTGAGTTTACAATTCTACATGAAACAAATAAATATAAGAAATATGTGAATCATTTCAATATTAATCGTTCCTGGGCTTACATTAGTCTATCCCTAGAGAATTGAGTGTTCCACGTGGGTACTCTATTATGTTTACCTACGTGCTAAATTAAAATAAATCGTGTATACCGTTGCATTTCACGTATTTGTACCTCAATTGTCTTCTATTTACTGAAACATCAAATATGTAAGTTAACGGCAGTATTTAACATTCATCCTGTCCAAAGAAATATTATTGAAACTAAAATTTCAAGTTTAAGTATACATAATTAAAAGAAAAAGTTTTCCACGTAAATTTAGTTTTTATAGTTTTGCGATAGTATTTTAATTTATCCAAAGAGCGTTGAGGCGATCGATTTAACTTTAAAAAGATTTTTAAAAATCATTAAAAATTTAATAATTTTCAAATCCTACTCTAGTTAATTAAAATATTTTCCTGCTTGTGAATATTCAAATTATGTAACATTGTTTACTTTAGCAAATTTATCTAATGATTTTATATTAACTCAATAATTTATTCTTAAAGAATAACAACTTTAACATGGTTTTCGTTTCATTAACCATTTTATAAATTATAATAATATATAGTGTTCAATAATTAGTGAATATCGTAAATCTAAACGTAATAATAAATACGTTAAATTCTTAAAAAAAAAGATTTATTTATATAATAAATAAAGAAGTTAAATGAAATTGCACTAAAAGTATTTCAAGTGTTATTGAAGACATGCTCATTTTAAACAGAAAACAATACAAATCTGCCAATTTGAGGTTGTCTAGTTTAGATTATTAAATCTTTTTTATGTTAACCTAAACAGCATTTTATTTAAAAATATACTTCTTATAACATTTAATATAGTATTGAAAACTATTCATATGTTATTAAATAAAAATATCGTCTATTGCTATCTTAAATTGAAAAATTTTTCTAGCCACGATAAGGTTAATAGGCTACATAACAAGACTCTTGTTGATTATTTGAAATAATCAGGAAATAATTTCTCTTGGTTCATTGGAACTTTATACTCGAGATCAGATCCGAATACACAATAGATAGACTAGTGTTGGAATTCCACATTCAAGATAAAAGTCACTAAACTGTTATAAAGTGGCAAGTACGTTTAAATTCGTTTATCTAGAAAAGTTTAGAGAAAATAAATAAAAAGAGAAAATGGTGAAGTAGATATGAAATTCAAGTAACCTAATTTATTTTAAAGAAAAATAATTATTGCAATTTTATCTTAACATAATGTCATTGGTAAGATATCTTTTAAACTTTTAGTGGTTTTTACTCAATATCTTTGTTGTATTACAGTGAAAGATAAATATATTTTTAATTTTAAATCTTATCATCATCATCTTATTGTGTATTCTTAGTACTATATATTATTAGTAAAAATTCTATAAAACAAAGATATAATTACAGATATAATTTATCTTTTACAACAATTTTTAAACAATAACGATCCAAACCAAACTCTCAAAACATGTATCTGTTTAGATATTAAACTTAAAATCAATTAATTTCGAATCATACTTCAAATAAACGATTCAATTTTCAAATTTTATCATTTTTTTTTTTTCATATTGTAGATTTGTGTTGAAATTCCCACTTTTTTTTAAAGATTTAATTTATTTTTAATAAAATAATAGATTAAATTATTTTACTTCAACATTATACTATTAAATTAAATGGATTTTTAACTCAATTTGTATTTGTAATTTCATATTAATAATAATGTAAGCAAATTGTTTTCAATTACCTGAGATGATTTCTGGGTACATTTTGAATGTCTTTATACACCATATGAAGTCGAACTGTTTCTGATTGACAATCGCTTCTAATAGACCACGCATGTTTGTCTCTATCATAACACTGCGTTTTTGTTGGAGATGCTACTACATTACTGGAAGTTGATGTGGAAACGCCATGTTGACTACCAGAAATAACTATACTAGATATCACTTCACTTAGGGTGTTTGCGAGAATCATTTCCAGGTGAACTCTTATAGTACCCTATACAAAAATATTTTTCACTTATCAATAAATTTAATACATTTTAGACATTTAAACAAATATTAATTGAAAATTAATAATTTACACGAAATACTTACTTTAATTACAAGTTCCGAAAATTTGTATCTAGGGTGCCAACCATAACTTTTCCCGTCTGAATCAGAAACATCGTCTAATACACCAGAGTCCAATCGCTTTTCTCCGTCACCCAACACAAGCATGTAACGAACACGGCACTGGTGGTCAAATCCAGTGCATCGGTTCAAGTAAACTGACATACGCCCTTCTGTAGATGTGCCTAAAAATAATTAAAAAAAAAAAAAATAGAAAATGAGTAATGTCTGAAAGATTCAACATAAATTCTTAAATGTTATGCTATCAAAAAGTTTTTTTTAGGGTTTTTCTACTATTGTTTTATACAGTTTATTTATAAATATATTTGTCTGTTATAAATTATTTGACGACATGAACTTTTGTCCCATTTCACACTACGATTATTCTTTATTTGATAATTCCAGAAGTAGATTGTAAAAATCATGAGTTCCAATAAATGTTTGTTTTTAGCATTCTCCCAGAAGGCGAATATATCTTGTATTAGTTTAAATATAATGTTATAAAAAAAGATGCCATAAATTCTTTAAATGTCAACAACAATAGAATATTTATGTAGTATGAAGGGACCCTTTATACAACTGTTTTTGGACAATTATATACTCGATCTCTCAATAAAATTGATGTACATATAATTATACATTATATCTTCTCTACAACATTATTTATAAAACTTATAAGTTAAGACAGTAGATAATCAATACCGTTAAATTCTGATAACTTGACAGGTCAAAGTATAAAGAGCTTCTAGACAAACTTTTATTTTTCATTTAGAAATAACAAGTAACATGTTTTTGTCGAAAATATGTTTGTACATAAACATTTATCGATAATATCTTTGGGTTCTTTTTATATAATTGCTAATGAAAACTGTAAGATGCTATGGTATTAGTGTTAAAATCTCTATATTTTATTTAAAGCTAAAAGTATAAAGTTATAAAATAAACTTTGACTTGTTTATTGATTTTTGAAATTTGAACAAGAAAATTATAAATCATAATTAAAAACAGAATATAGTTATACGTTTGTTATGAAAAAAACTTCATGGTATAAGCATAGATTAATATCGAATAAATAATTACAAAACTTAAAAAAATCATAAAGCACATTTTCATTCAGTATAATTTGAAAAGACCTTTTACTCTGAGGTAATAAAATTTGACATATACAAAATGATTTATTTATTAAGAACCACTTAATTAGTCGAAAAATGAAAATAATTTGAGAATATTTCTCTAGCTTTTCTCAACTTATCAATCATTAAGTATTTTTTATGTTCATCCTTTATACAGGTATCAACTTTATTTTTTCAAATGGCAACATACATAATTAACTAGTTTATTTAATAAATAATCAAGATCCCATTAAGAAAATTACTGGTAGTTGATAACAACTTTCGGGTCAGTATTTTTAAAGTTGTTGACATTTTTATCTCTAGGCAGGAAGAATCCGACGGAGAAATAAATAGTGATAAAAATAACAATACCTGCATTTCACCTTATGTCATAATTATAACATGTGAATAACTTTTTAAATGATGTTTCAAAAGTTGTTATCGACCATTATTTTTCTTAGTTAAATCGTAATAAGCTAGTTAATTATGTAATATAATATTTATTTAAAAGACACCTCCTAAAAATCTTAATGTTATTTTTATTTTTCGACTAATCAAGTAATTTAGGATGAATTAATCGCTCTGCATATTTGAACTTTATTTTACATTATGCAGACTCATTTTATTATACAATTATTACTTCTACGTTCTTGTAAAATATAGTATGATTTAAATTTATTAATATATTATGAACATTAAAATTGATTATCTATTGATATTTTAAGTTTTGTCATAATTTTTTTTCTTTATTATCACTTCTACAATCAGGAAAGTAAATACGGCAGTTGGATAATTAAACTACGGATGTATATCAATAGATACTTTGTATTTTATTAAGTAGTAGTTTATTTAAACTACAATACTATAGTGTCTCATACACTTTAATAATACACTTTATATAACATGATATTTTTCTAAACTCGCAAATTGTTTTTAAATTAGATTCTCAGGCATAAAACAATAATTCCAAATTTATACAATTATAATTTTTCACTCATTTAAAAGTTTTTGCTTAACCCATGCGCTAAATACTTAAATTTATAAAATTACTTGTGGGTAAAGTAATATCTTGTATTAAATCTAGTTAATACCGATACTTACATTTTTATACGTTATATTTAGATAAACTTTTTTAGAAACAACAAAAATTTCACATACTACGTAAGTATCAAACTTTTAGTTTTTATTGATGATAAACTTTATTTACTGAAATTCTAGTTTTAGTAACTGTATTAAAAACAATAACCGATAAAAATTATATTGAAAACATTGCTCGTATTATAATATTATCTATCGGATAAAGTCAAGAATATTTTAAAAATATTATAAGTTGATCGTTCTAAAAAAACACTTTGATAACATCAATTTTTTTCATCAGTGCATCGTATTATCAATAATTTTAAACTTTACCCAATCATGTTCACAATAATGAATTTAAAATTGTAAAAATTGGCTAATTAAAGCCAAGTAAAGTTTTCTTCTCTAATATGAAACACTTAAAATTAAATGCTTAACCTTATATGTCCTAACAAGGTACCGTGTTTCTCTCAGCCGTTTTAAAACCATACGAAAGTGGTAAGGTTTGATTTTACACGAGTCCTTGGGTCGCGAGTACTAAATCTCTTTTTTTTCACACGATTTCTGGTACACTTTCTATGACTGCCCGTCAATTCCTGACGGTCATTCCCTTAGCCCTTTATTTCTCTTGCTGCATAAATTAGTATTTACTTACATGAAGCGTCTTTAACGCCATGAGGATATAATGCTAGATTCCAATCAAAACCGCCAAACGTGAAATAAGTAGTTTCAAGTTTGCATTTGGAACCTCTGGGAGACGTGTTACCGTACTGATGTTGCAACGCATTGTTTGCCGATGAACTGTGGTGATTTTGGATTTGGTGATGGTGATGCATTATCCGTGACGTGAGTGACGCCGGCACTCGAAATTCCGTATCGTAGAGTGTACGGACATGTCCTATAGATAGTTCCAGCTGAAACTCTCCGTTGGCGTCGGTGAAGTTTCTCCCGTACAGATCGCTGACCGGAATGTAATTTCTGTTGCCTTGCGCCGGACATTCCGTTGTAAACTTTACCTGAAATGATGATCACATTTTACCAATATTGTAACATCAATTTTTTATAACATTACATCCAGGTGATAAAAATTCACAGCTAAAAAATGTTGATTTTGATCTAGTATTCGATAGTAAGCAAATGAATATTTTTAATTACAGTTTTACAGAACATTGTATTAAAATCAAAAACGAATTAATAAATAAAATTAAAATATTGCTATGTATTATGAATACTTCTCCAGTTGTATATTTTAAATAATTATATTAAATAAACCATCAACAAAATATATAACCAAATATTCTAAAATTTAATGGGTTTTTGGTTTGGCTTAATTCCCAAATCGCAACCACTGTTAAGTAAGTATGCTGTTTCAAAAATATTGCCAATTCTTAAATTGGATTGACCCGGCATAAATATTTGAGTTTTACAGCATAAAACTTACATAGCGAAGCTTCTACTAACATTAAATAAATATATTGAAGTAGTATGGCAATACATGTTTGTAAATACGTACATCAATTTAATGCAATCAGAGATTGTTTAGATGTAACAATTAGTACAATGTATTGTCATAAAAAATAATTCTATTGTGCAGTATACTATCTAAAATTTATAAAAAATAAATGTATTTTCAGTTTTATTAATGATTTTAAATTTTTATCTAGTATTTAACTGAACAATAAAATACTGATGTATAATAAAATAAATTATATAAGACAAATGAAATTCTTTATGTGTGGTTTTTAAAAGGATTTAAACAAAAATAAAAAATAACGGACTCTAATACGATTACATTATTTTACAGTAAGTTATTTATCAAAGAAAAATAAATTTCATATTTTTGTTTACAGTTATTTCAATACAAGTTCCAAAGCTAAAACCAGGAAAGGTATCATATTTGTGGAAAGGATAGGGAGCATTAAAGAAATTATCTCTATTCAACACGACTTCAAAGCATACCCACATGCTGTGTATAATTTAGCCAGGCTGTTACTGAATTTTTCTTTTGAACTTTTTAAGCAATTTTTTTACGCTGGTATAGTTTTACCATTAGATTGTTATTCATTTATACTAAAGCTGTTTATTATACCTTGATTAATTAAAATTAATTTTCATCAGTTTTAGGAAAATATATGTGTCATAATGTGACATATAAAAAATATATTATTCTTATGCATATATTATATGCGTGAGAATAAATATATTTTTTTAATTCATTACTCATGAATAACTATAATTTATCTCTTTCAAAAATTGTTTTAAAAAGAAAGCAGTGTAAATTAATCAAATAATGGAAATATTTTAACAGATTGTTTTTTATCTTTAACACTAAAATACATTGTAATTATTTCCTTTGGGTAAATTTGTTTTTAAATAACAATTAAATTTATATTTATTTACAAAATTAAACATAATATAACAGTTATGATAAATTCGTACTTCCTTTAGTTGATAGACGTTTATCATAAAGGAAACAAAATGTACAACTACTTTATTTTTTTTATAACTTTTCCGTGAAAATTACAATAAAAAATATTGAATTTTAATTTCATACTAAATTTAATTTTTATAATATGTATTATAATATAATTATTCATGTATTCTAGTAATAAATTATAAAACTAGGAAATTGATGTTGATGTTTAATTCTTTTTAAAATTAATTATCTACACATTTGTATCAATGCAATTTTTATAATAGTGATTTTAATCAGATATTTTCTATGCTTGTACCAATTAAGCCACGTCCTCACTGTGCTACAACCTTACTGTACTGGTGTTTTTAATTACTGAACCTAATGAAATTTTAATTCAATATAATTAAGTAGACGAGCTTTCTTCTGGTATACTTTCTATAAATATTCAATAATAACCATATATACAGGAAAGTTCTGAAAGAGACCACTTACGCATGTAAAATGATTATTTCAATTTGATTTTTGAAAATATTTTGTAACGACTGCGTTCTTTTAACTGACGTCAAATTAATGATATTGAAATGTACGAATGGTTTTAAAATATCCTGACGATTGTTCTACCACGAAAAAAGTAAAAAATCATAATTATTAAAATTTTAACTGGTACTTTTTAATTATATCTGATTTTAAAACACACACACACACACACACACATATATATATATATATATATATATATATATCTTTAATGCTAGACACTAAATTTATCGTAAAATAATAAATTTTTAGACATTTTTTTAAAAACTTTTTTAAGTTAGTCTCTTATATTTTATAGATACTTTCGAAATACTGATACAAAATCATAATAATAAAATAAAAATAGAAAACTAATGTGAAAAACAATTTTCTAAAAAATTTGAAATGAATCACTCTGTATATGAGTAGTAACATATATATAAACTTAAATTTTGAACTCTCGCAAACCAAAATCACTATTATTTAATAACTTTGAATAAACATTACGTATCAACATACATGTTATAAATAATTGAGCAAAGTTTCAAGATGGAGTCTTCAATATTTAGGATGATATTGTGTTTCAATGTTAAAATAAAACTATTATTTGTTACATAAAATGACGATAGTACTAAAAATAGATTAATTTAACCATTTATAAAATATTTCAACATTTTCGGAAATATGTGTAGATATATTATAAAATTATTTATGCCAATGACTATAGCCAAATTTAAGTCTAATATAAAAACGTTTCGTTTGATATTTTGCTGAAAGTTGGTTTATTTTATTTAACTTCGAAATTATTTTACTCAAACGTAATTAACTAAAATGTAATTTTTATTTGTTTAACATTTAGTATCGTTTTAACATTAAATTTTAATAGTATTATATTGCTTCATTTTTGGTACAGATTATTTAATTTAAATATCTTTTTTTAATTTATTGTATAAATTTATTTATTCTAATTTATTATAAACACTCATCATTTATGCAAAATTTAATTTCGAAAGTTCTGGAAAACAAAAATACCAAAAAATCAGATATAACGAATACTGTAATGCCACGACAATTCAACATTACCATAATTTCGTGCCCATTTAGAGCTGGACACTTCCAGGCTAGATATAATCATTGAAGAACTTGATTTTTTTTCGGTATTTGTCAAATAATATTGCAATGTTATCATGTTAAAGTTTCACAATATTTAAAATGATTTTTACTATTTCATTTTATAAATTGACTATTTATTTACTTATCATTATACAGTAAATTAAGTTAAATAAAATTAAAACTTTAATATAAATATATGATAATTCTACTTTTAAAAAGTCTACTATAATATCATCTATCTTGCGTTATCACCAGAAGCGGAGTGATTTAGAAATAGAATATTTTAGATGGCCTAGACCAGAGGTTCTCAAAGTCAAATGAATCACGGACCCCCCTCTAAAGACCTACAGTTTTAAAGACCTAACCCTGATATGTGCTCGCGGACCCCTGGGGGTCCGCGGATCACACTTTGAGAAACTCTGGCCTAGACCATATTATGGCTTAGTAATCAGATACTTTATTTTTTATTTATTACAAAATTAGTAAATGTGCAAACATTTTTTTTTTTTATATTAAAACATTGAAAGCTAAAGTTATTGTATAATTTTACTAATGTAATAATTATTAAAATCGGGTTCTTTTGACGTATAGACCAACAAGATCAGTTCTGTGAGAACGATAATTGTCATGATAGATATTAAAAACACATCACAGAAAAATCAATACCTTCTCAGCTTCGAACCGAAGCTAAAAAACGTTTCTATACTACGAATCAATATTCAACAATATTTATACAAGATCACTTATGGGTAGTCGTAATAATCATTTACATTGATAAAATGAGAGATTTACTGATTTAAAACACGATATTTAATCTATAGTGTTTTAAAACATTAAGAAATTCTAAACGTCATCTATTATTATTTAGGATATTTTTTCTTATCATTATTTCGGCTCGATCAAAACTCTACATTATCATATTTTAAGTTTAACAATTTTGTGACATTATTTCTGTGGAACTCTCCTGGTTACGTTTTACATTTATTATCCGGAAATGGTTCTAAATATTAGGTCAGGCCTTGGCCTAGTCGGACCGGACCGTAATTTCAACTATGATTTCGTCCTCTGATGTGTTATTGGATTTCATTTTAACTTGTTTTTTAGTTATTTTTGAATAATTTAAAAATTAATTAAGATCTTAATATTTCAATTGCACCAACTTTTTAAATACAAATTACTGTTTAAAAATGATTACTATGATTTCTATTGAAATTATTTATTACGATATAAATACAGGAAAACTGTAATTAAAATAAATGAACAATTGAAAGGCTTGGTGCAATAAACAGATAAGTCCAACTTTTTCGGAAATAAATTTTTGTTAATTTTTAATAAATATGAGTTATCTGTGCAATTTAAAACAAAAACAAGTTATACAATCATATTATTAGTGAAAATATTTAATTTAGAAAAAAACTTATCATTCTTTAGACTTATTTTGTTGTTACTCCAATCTCTTCAACTTGGCTATAATTTCTCAACTAATTACTTTAAAATATTTACTTTAAAATATGTATATGTTGATATTATATATTGTCACTGCAAATTTTAACACGTAATGTTAACTAACCTCTTTTGAAATATTAACTTATATAATTCAAATCATTATTATCAAAACTATGTCGTTGCTACGTTGTTAATATTTTATTTGATGCGACACGTATTGTGTATAGAATCATTTACATGGTGACATAATATTGTATCAGTATTATTACGTAGGGATGAAATCCATTTCGATAAAATATTGTCGAAGGGATAGTATCCAGGGAGATAATATCCAATTACCCAACCAACAACGGGAAGCCATCTATTCAAAGTACACGCCGGGAAAATCCCCCTAATTATAAATAAGTTTTTTATTATTATAAATGATGTGTATAATAAACGATAACTACTTCTGAGCATCAATGAAATTCATAATATTTATATTATTATTTTAATATTGTTTAAGATATTTGGTTATTAATATAACATTATAGTTGTTTTTATGTATAAAAATCATTTATCACACTAATGATGGATCCCCTGCTGTGATAAATGGACAAAATATCCTGCAGACCTGATTTTATATGTATAGAATAATTCTCGCGTGAGACATCCTATGGGAACTGTTACTATAAGAAACACATGAGGGCATGAGAAGATTTATTTTCAGGAATTAAATAATTTTATAAACCTAGTGATTTTTAATCCTTTGCAAATATAAGACAATAATTAGCAACTGAACATAGTTCTATAATTTTACAGCTGGGGCGATTGCTCTCGATTCAAGGTAAGAATTAAGCTAAGAGGTACTCATGATAAAAACTGAATCTATATAGAGCAGATTTCGTTTGAGCTGTTAATTTACGGTTGACGATTGCTTTGGATTCTTGGTAAATTAAAATTTTTAAATACATAATGTGTATTACGCATATAAGTGGTAATATTTCTTTTCTTTGCGATTGTGATAGTAAAAAAACCCTCAGACACTGACCCCGTTATAAAAAGTAACTGAAAATAATAGAAATTAGGTTTAAGATAATAAGAGTCTCCACTAATCTAATGTCTCTTCAAACAACTACATATATACTGATATCATATTAGTTGTTCATTTAATTTATATATTTTTGAGTTACAACACCTTCTCAATCCAGATGGCCGATCACTTTTCAGTCGTAGGTACACTGATAACTTGCCCACAATGTTACATCACACTAGGAGAGTCTGACTCTTTTTTTAGCTTAAAAAGATAAATGTAATAACTTTAAAATTTAATTGAATTCTAAAATAATATTTTCGAATAGTGTTTTTTTTAAAACATAAACAAGAAAATTTGAAAATAGTGTTTGTTGATATAATAGAAACAAACAATAAATATAAAACCGCATTTGTCTTAAACTAAACTCATTGTTTTTTACTATAAAAAAATCAAATTGATATTTTTGTAAAATAAAAAGTTTTTCCTGAAGAATAAAAATAAAATGAAATATATTCAACTTTATCTTAATCAAAAAGTTTATTCAAATATTAATCCCAATGATTATTGATTAATATTATTTGAACTTTAATAGTTATTCAAATTTTGTTTTTATAACAAAATAATTGTTATATAAAGTATTCAGTAAGTAAGGAAACGGGTTTCTATTGTTCTCATTGTTTATAAAAATCGACTTGTTTCCTGACTTACAGAACACCATATATAATTTATCAGCATATCAATCTCGTACCATTAATATTAAAGATAATTATAGTAAGTAATAAATGTATACCTATTATAACTATACATACAAATTTGAATTGTTAAAGTAATAAAATATTATGTATAAATGAATACGATGAAGGATAATTAATAGAAATAAATTAATAATATCCATCCAAAAGTTACGAACAGACTTTGCCAGAGAACAACCATTAATAATTTACACATAATTGTAAGCTTTTAATTAAATCAATGAAAGTATGTTATAACATAAGCTTTGCAAAAAATGATACTAATAAACATATTTATAATAGCAATACCATATTAATTAGTTTGACCTACCAAAACAAAAATAGGCTTAACTCAATTTCATTATTATTATTATAAGCAATTATTTCATTTTTAGTAGACATTACGTATGAAAATGTTTTTGTAAATCTTAAAACATTTTTTATAATTAAATAGTAAATTTACGAACAGCAACAAAATGCATAATATTTATATTAATATTTTAATATTATTTAAGATATTTGGTTAGTAATTTTACATTACAGTTGTTTTTTTCTTTTAATGTTTTACTAGAAAGTACAAGCATAAATATAAATTTTTGATATCACTACAACATTTTCTAAAAATGTATATTAAAATGTAATATAAATAGACATACATAATAAAATGGAAATTTTTTTTGTTTTTTAATTGTAATTATATTGCTTAATATTCGGCTTTCAGAGATGAGTGATTATCTATAATTGTAGTTAATGAGAAAAACCTGAAGCCAGGTTTGAAATCAACGACAATTCAGAATCAGTTATAGTATAGTTAGTATTAAAACGTGCGTTGGCCAGTGTTAAATTGCACTTTTAATAAATTTTCGATAAAAAATATCTTACTTTGGATTCCAATTGTTTAGTATCAAAACTGTTAAGACGAATTGAATACTATAATTTAAATGAACTAAACATTTTAGAAGTAAGGTTTTCAAGTTTTGCAACAATGAGTTGCACCATAACGTTTTTGGTGACAAGAAATAGTCATCGATTATATAATTTGTTCTCAATAGGTTCTGAAATCACTCCACGAAAAAACCTATGCAATAATGCCGCTCGCTCAAAATATGTGTGTCATCGCCTACCCTGTGTAAGTATATTGTGTAGAGATAAATCACAATAGATAGCAACCAATGAATAATGTATTATAAATAATAGCAATTTCCAACATTTTCGTGCTTTGAAATATTATTTGAATTCTCACTTGTTTCCCTGCGAATGATTCGTTTACGCTAAAATGTTCTCGATTTAGTATTGTAAACGTGAAATCCACGTAGACTCGCACAGATTCGGACATGCTCTTCCACACGAGGTACGCGCCCAACATTTTGTCTGTCCGAGAAAAAGTGATTGACCATTTCTGATGACCACACGCAAACTCTTTGGACGTTACGTCCCTGTCCGGGTCCCTTGTTACCGATTTAGTTACCACGAATGTAAAAACGTGTGTTTGGACGCGGTCCGGAAGTTTAACCAACCTGTACAATAACGCCATAGTCGGTCAATGATCGCATTACATTACCTGCAAATAAATAAAATCCATTTTAATTAAATCAATTCCATTTGTTTCTAAATCGTTTTTTTAACATTACGTAAAAATCTATAACAATTAAAATCACTAATTCTACACGCTGCTATTCAGACTCGATTAAATATTTTATTAAGTTTGTCATTTGTTTTCACAGAGTTAAAATTTTAATTAATCAACAGTTGAACCCGTACACTTGATCTCCACGTAGACCTGTATATCTATTATCAGAATTCTGCCATATCTATTGTTTATGTACACCATTTTGTAGCAGCAACAAACTTAAACATGAATCATTTTATATTTATATATTTCAAAATAAAATTCAATACACTAACTAAAATAAAGTACTTATTCTGCAATAGACGCTATTTAGAATTGAAGTTACTCCCAATCACATATTAATTTTTTATTACATATATGCAAATCTGTGCTAGTTTAAATAACGCTAATATGAATGTGAACATATCATGTAGGTAATTTTTAGTGCGACATTATTTATTTTTCACAATACGAATTTATAATAAAAACTTATAGTCCTTTCTTTTATTTAATTTTTTTTTACAATAAAGAAATTGTCTGAATATTGATCAATGGATTGGAAAATATTTTCGTTGTTAAAATTGAATTACACTTTCTTTCAATGTAAGAATAAACATGATTATTGTAAAAATTACTATAATCTTATAAAAAATTCAATTAGTATAATTGTATTTTTATAAAATAAATATAATGTAGAAGTAATAAAATAAAAAATAAAAGTAAATAATAAAATAAATTATTTATTAAACTAAAAATAATTCTATTTTTTCAAACCTTTGACTGTTATTAACAAAACTTAATTTAAAAAAATTCAATTTATAAAATTAATTTTTTATGCTTTAAAGTTATGTAGATGCTTTAGTTTCATACATTATGAATTACAATATAATTACAATATGATAATTCAAGATTAAATCAATAACTAACAAACAATCTTTATGACCATTGATAATGACGTTTTTTTTAGATCCATGACTATTACATATTTTATGAAGCCCGACATTATGATTCTTAAATGACGTCTAATAATAATTTAAAGAGAATTTTACCATCTGAAGACTATATGATAAATAATTTATCTCTTTTGCTGTAGTGTTAGTATCTAATGAAACTCTGCGAAAATTGAATTAAATTGTATACTTCTTAAGTAATATTTTATTTAACATAAAGAATGGAAACAAAAAGTTCAAGAAAATTAAAGAAATAAAAAATTCATCGAATAACTGAGTTCATATATTTTTTTTAATAATAGCTTTTCATTATTTCAATAAATATTATTAACAACTATAATTCGTCATACTTATAATACTATAGTTTATAGTATTATATGTAATAATTTAAGGATTTTTATCAAGCATATATTTTTAAACAATTTTTTAAAACTTACTTTGAAATGATATCAAATTCGTATTTCGAAATGCATCTAAACAACAAATAGATTTACATATAATGTAAATTTTAAAGTATATTGTTTCTGAATAATCTAGAATCAAAAACTTATCTTTTTAAAATTTTTTAGGATGATTGTTATGGAAAGTATCCATTACAGTTATGTAGCTAAAACATTAGTGCGTATTATCATCATTCATTAATAGTAAAGGGAGAGATAAACTTAAAAAGTCTACTACACTTATCGGATTGTATAAAGGTTATTCAGGGCGGTTTGTTTATTGTTAACAAATCATTAATCAAAGAACGTTGGTTTTCTAAACAATTTGTTCCGGGATTTATCATTAGTTTATTATTTACCTAGAATAATGTGCAGACTGATTTGACAAATTGAATTATAGCTGGTTGCAGCATATAAATGAAGAATGTAATAAGATATAAGGTCAGTTGAGAGTTAGTTAGTAAAAACAAATTTATTCCATAAAATTGATTGGTATTAGTATTATAATAGAAACAAGACAATTGTTTCAATGATTGAATTACAGTAATTATGTTATTATAAAACATGTTATACCAGTAATTAAATATGATCAAGTGTATTATAAAACTTAACAACTCATAGTGTGATATTTACAAATGTGAGGGATGTATTTTAACCATTACCGATTTAATTACAAAATAAATGCTACTTGATACTCATCTAAATAATGAAATTCTAATTAATTTAAATTTAACGCAGTATAATACTAACAAAAAAAAATTTTTTTTATGAAATTTGATCATAATTAGTATTGTTTTTATAAAAATGTCATAAATTATATGCTCTATTAGAGAATTGGAAGTTCCAAATTGGAGATACTGTAGTATTAAATACTACACCCAGAGAAAAACCTCGATCTATATAATAAATTCATTGTTCAATTTGATAAATATATCATTACTATTGAATCAATGATATATTTATCAATATGATATTTTTTTTTCTTGTCTTGAACAATAATTATTTATAAGAATAGTTATTTTGTTTGTATTAATAAAACATTATCATAAACCCTTGATAAAATTTCTCTTTCAATTTTGATTGAGGATTTTCTTTGGGTGTAGTACTTACAACCTTATTTAGTTTTCATAAGAAATGGTAACAAGGATGTAAGGAAGTGGGGGTTTTTACAATTCATCGCAATTTTTTTTACTTGTCATCGATTATATTAAAAAAAACCGTAGCACAGTGTGAGCGTGGCATAGTTGGAACTAGTATAGATGATATCTGACAATGATTAAAATCACTATCATAAGAAACGATTCGATGCAAATCTGTAGATAGTGTTTAATTTTAAGAAATTGGTGGATTATTGAAAAACAAAATTCTAACTCAAAAAGAATTACGGAAAAATTTCAAAAAATCATTGCCACGAGCAATAAATTACTGAATCGGCAAACGTTCGTTGCATTCGTTTTTTGATAAAATTGGCAATTTAAGCTGATTCAAATGTTAAAATGAATTTTTTCGACTTTAAAGAAAAAAAAATTGAAATAAGTTTAACATTATATTCTAGGTCAATTAGATTTATATAATATTCATGAAAATCAGTGTACCCCATTATAAGGTATTTTAAAATAAATTAAAATATAATGCCAAGAATTATAACACAAAAATAGCATGTTTTTTAACTACGGCAAACATTTGCACATAAAAGATAAGTTGTAATTATAACATATGTTTGAAGCTCGGAGTATTTTCGGAACATTTTCAAAACTTAAGTTGAAAAAGTTAATTTTTTGTGCAGTAATTGCTATTTTGAATCCTCTCCAGTGGACATGTAAAAGGTCAGATTTTCAAAAAATTTGTATCAAATGAAAGGGAAATATCTAAAATTTCAATATAAAAAAGAATTACATTAATTTGTTCACTTTTCAATAAATTATGGCAATTTTTAGAGAAAAAAAATGTCGAAATTTACCTATTCTAAAAATTGTAATTTTTGGGGATTTTCACTATTTAACTATTTTATTCAAACAAACTTTATAATATCTGTTGATAATTGTTTCAATATAAGAGTAATTCGAATTACACAAATAAATTAATTTAAGCTACTGTTTGTAAAATCAGTAGAGCAAACAAAAATCGTAAATCTTATTGATCTTTGCGACATTAGCATACAGATAAATATTAACAAGATGGATAGTATCGACTACAATATTTAATTAAATACCTATTTATATAAGTAATTACGTGTACATAGATATTTTTATTATTACCCAATCAATTCTGTTTAATCTATTGCGTTTTCATTTTTCTAAAATAATGACATTTTGATTTTGTTTAGTTACATTGTCTTTTTGCTTCTAAAAGTTTAATCGTAAATCAATGACTTAATATCCATTTACTTTTATAAGCAAATAATAAATAATGATGTAAAATCGTAAAATTTAAATTAATTTTATTGTTTATAGGCTATCTAATAAAATATAATATTACAACTTTTTCTTTTTATTCAATTCACGAATAAAAAATGAAGTTACAACTTTGCCAAATGTATTATTTTGAATGATTATGGTTAAATTTAACTTTTCATTTATTTTTATGATATTTTATGCATAACAAGCAAGAAATATATCACATGAATTACCATTACAAATTATTTTCTTTAGTTTTTTTATAGTTTAGATATGGGTGAGTTAAAATGAATAGATATTTTTTGATACTTCTAACGTGTAAGACTACTGTAACTTTTTTACTTCACATCGAACATAAATGAAAAACATAAAAGTTATATACAACAACGACAGAGAGAAAAAATTTTGTTATTGCAAATATATCATAAAAAATGATTTTGTCGCAAGACATGAATTATTTCGTTTTTAAAGAAAAACATTAATTAATACTAAGTTAACAGTTTTTAAAATAAATTTTATCAAAACTTAATAATTAATTTTAGCTTAATCGAAATGTATAACCATTTTTTAGTTGATAAAGTCTACGTAAAATGAACTTTAAGTTAAATTAAAATACACTTTTTATGTACTTAATAATAACGGTGTTACAAATTTTATAAATAATTATAAGTTACAATATTAAATTAGTTCTAATATTTCTTAAACCTTATTATATAAACTTTTTGAATATTAAATTTTATGGAACAATAGAAATCAAATCCCGCACTAAGATTGTTCTCCTCCATAAGACCTCATGCCTTACGCTTTAAGGAGTTTGCAGTCTAAGTTGACGTTAAAAATAAGTCTACATTTCACAAAAAAATTAATGTTAGGATGATCACATATCTGTTTTACGCGAGACCCTCAGATTTCTAACGTTGGTTTTATCAAAAATTATCATTAATACAACTAGACCAAAATCTTAAAACATTTTAATACAAATAAATAACCTACTCAAATGTAATATTATATTAAAAATATAATTTAAAAAAATTAGAATAAATAGTTTCTATAAATACACAGTAACGATAATATATAATATATGAGACACATTTAAAGATAATGTGAAATTTATTTATTTTACAAACTCTACATCCATTATAAGTTTTATATATGTTTTCATATTT